GTTGTCCTTTCTCCAGGGTGAAACCCTGTTTTTACTACTGGGTTCTCAAGGAACCAGGTTGTATTTAGCTGATGCAGTCTTGCCCTGGGACATCACAGTGTCATGGACCATTGAGGCCCCAACTGGAACCCAAGGCGCAAGGAATTATGTTCCCCTGTCATATCCAGCCTATTTGGCAAGACATTAGGCCTCAGACAAGCCCTAATCACAATTTAATTACTAAATGATTTTTCCCCAACAATTATACACAATGGTCCTTGGTGAGACTTATTACAACTTAAAATTAACACTCTTCCAGGTGACATTTAGGGACTAAGGTTTATAGAGAAGCAAAAGACATTTAAAGGAAGATGTCAGTGAAATGGGTAGATATAATAGTATAGAGGGAAGAAGCTAAACATGAAAATATAATTTAAAGGGTATAAAAGGTACTGAAATTAAATCTCCATGAGCAGATGAGTTCCCCTGGGAAGATTAATATAAAAGTAAAAAAAGCTAAAACTTTCCCATATTTTTTGGTCAGCGGTAGGAGGAAAAGGCAGCAAGGGATTTGAAGGCAGCGCGAGAGAGGCAAGAGGCAAAGTAGGATGGCATGATTCCTGAAAATAGGAGTTCCTGGAAGGGAGTAGTTACTTGTGTTGGTGCTGCTGAGAAGTACTGTGAAGTGAGGGCTGGGCGTTGTCTCCTGGATTTATCCTCGTGGAGGTTGCTACTGATCTTAATACACACTCATGCAGAAGGAAAACAGGGCATGAGTAGGCTACATTAAAGAGAATGAGTACCCATCTGCTGGAGACTCAGTCCTAAAGAGCTCTCTTTTATTTTCAGCATATATGAAGGCCATTCTTGTTTAGAAGAGTTTTTTGTTGTTTTTTTTTATTCCTAAGTGAACTTCTGATGTTTCCTGTAAAATTAATAAAAATGTTCTCCACTTTGTTATAGGTGAGTATATGGCATAATGTCTTGCAAAAGAGACATATTATAGTTTAGTAGAGCAGAGCATAGATTTTGAAAATGAGATCAGGCATTGGTTGAATCCCAGCTCTACCTCTTTCTAGCTGCATGACTAACCACAAGCAGGTACTTTGCTCTTTATCTGAGAGCTAAGTAATAATACCAGCCCTTAGTGTGGACTTAACAATTATTTCAGACAATGACTAGAACTAGGTGTTAGCTAATACTAATTTTGTTACAGGAACAAAATTACTAAATTATGTATATTTATAATTTTCTCTTTCCTTTCAAAATAAGGGACATGGCTCTATTTAGATTTCTGCCGCTGCATAACAACCTAGTCTAAATTTAGCAGTTTAAGACTATGCAATCTTCTGGCAGTTGTATGGGTTGGTAGCTCAGGCATGAAACAGTTGAGTTCACTGTTCAGTTTCACAAAGCTAAAATCATGGTGCTAATTAGAACCACGGTTTCAAGAGTTTAGGGTCCTCTTTCAAGCTCATTATTGACAGAATCCGTTCCCTTATAGTGTGGGACTGAAGTCACTGTTTCCTTTATAAACGTAAATGAGTTGGTGGGGGAGGAAATGGGAGATGGCTAAAATTGAGATTGAGATTTTATAGATATGAATGATGATTTCCTAGTCTGAGCTATTATTGCTAGGTGAGCTGGTAACTGGGGTAAGAAAAAGGAACATTTAGGTGAAGTTAGGGCAGGTATCAGTACACATAGACTTGAAATTTGAAGTAAATAAAACAGTCACAAAGGCGGTAGTAGGCTTGGTACTAAAATCATCCATTAATGTAATGAAAAGAATATCAGCGAAAGTAATACACACACAACAGGAGGGAGAGTGCTTCCTCTTTTCCAGCTGACTGGAACCATGGAGGATGTACAAGAGAAGGAAAAGAAGGTTCCTGCTGTGCCAGAAACCCTTACGAAAAAGCAAAGATGTTTTGCAGTGTTGAAGATAAAGCACCTGAGAAAGAAGTTTGTCCAGAAGATGCTTCGCAAGGCGAGGAGGAAGCTCATCTGTGAAGAAGCCAGACACTACCATAAGGAGTACAGACAGATGTACAGAACTGAGATCCGAATGGCTAGATGGCGAGAAAAGCTGGCAACTTCTATGTCCCTGCAGAGCACAAACTGGCATTTGTCATCCGGATCAGGGGTATTCATGTTGTGAGCTCAAAGGTTCACAAGTTGTTGCAACTTCTTCGCCTTCACCAAATCTTCAGTGGTACCTTCCTTAAGCTCAACAAGGCTTCAGTTAACATATTGGGAATTGTAGAGCCATACATTGCATGGGAGCACCCAAACCTGAAGTCAGTGAGTGAACTAATATAGAAGTGTGGCTGTGGCACAATCAATGAGAAGCGAATTGCCTTGACAGACAATTCATTGATTGCTCGATCTCTTGGTAAATATGGAATCATCTGCATGGAGGATCTGATTCATGAGATCTATACTGTTGGAAAACGCTTCAAAGAGACAAATAACTTCCTGTGCTGTTCAAGTTATCATCTCCTCGAGGTGCAATGAAGAAAAAGGCCACCCATTTTGTGGAAGGTGGAGATGCTGGAAATAGGGAAGACCAGATCAACAGGCTTATTAGAAGGATGATCTAAGGTATTTATCTATCATGGTGTTTTTAATAAAGTATCTGCTTCCAAAAAAAAGAACAGGAGGGGGAATAATATAATCTCCAAGGTATGAGGGTCAGATGAGCTGGAATTTCTCTGGGAAGGGAGAAGAGAAAGGCATGGAGGAGTCAGCAGGACACCTGCATGAACTCCCCTGCCACCAAGGCAACTCTGTGATGCATGATAGGGTGGAGTAAAAACAGGAAGCAGTGGTCTCAGGGGAAGGGCCAGTTTCCATTAGAGAAAAGAAAGGCCAGGAGGGCAATTTTTTTTTTTTTTTTTTAAGTTGACTTTGCTTTGTGTTAAGATATGACACCTGCACTTTTGTCCCAGGGGACATATACACATTTCATACTTCTTTTGCCCAGTCCATTGTGGCTAATTAGCATCCTTGTTTTCACTTCTCTTTTCTGATTCCCTCACTGATTTTCTCGAATATAAATTTCCTGAAAATGATTCTAATGAAGATTGCTGTATAAAGCAAGGGTTTCTCAGTGATTGTACCTCTTGTCCTTCTAATTACACTGCAAGTCCTTAGCTCTCGTTTGTGTACTGGCTAGCAAGTCAGCGCTTGAAGACTTGCGGCATCAGGAAGGAGAAGGTGGCAGGCACAGTTCCTTGTCCTATGGCTTTGCCGTGATGGGCCTGCCGTGTCCCGCTCTGTCCGCCTCTCCCCCAGCCCCGCCCTCCCCCCCCCATCATCTTCTTGCCCACTCACCACTCACAGTGTTGGAATGCAGAGCTGTCTTTTCTCATTTCTTTTTAGCTTCTTCTAAGAAGTTTACATTTCATATAAATCATTTAACATCTGTTTCTTCTGACTTACTCTCTTAAATCAACCTGCTGCTGCCCATCCCTCAATCACTCCTGGAAGCCCTTTACTTCCTAACAGGGGTTCTGTCAATGGCCTCTTCCCCTACTATGTTCATTTAAGCCCTCAGGCCTAAGAATGCCACTGTTGGATTATTTGTTCAGTAACTTATGTCCCCTTTAAGTGTACATATCTATTGTTTGACGCACAGAGGACATGTTAAAATACCATCAATTTGAAGGACAGACTGAAATCCTGCTAGTGATACAAATGGTTGAAAGGGTTAAGGGCATGGCTCCATGGTAGAACACTTGCTTAGCATGTATGAGACCTTGGGTTTGATCCCTAGCAACCCCTGCCAGGAAAGAAATGGGGAGGAAACTGTGTTACCAAGTCACCTTGCCCTTTACTATTTGTGTCCCTGTAGACAAATCACTTAGCTTCAGTTTCTTCATCTGAAATGAGGGTAATAACACCTAATTTGTGTGATTGTTTTAATGGTTAAACAAATTGATAATACTTGGCTTTTGGTACTTATTCAGTATTACTCTTCCCTATCTCCTTATCTTTGAACTCTAATCTCTGGATAATCTCTCTTTTTATATTATCTCCAAAGCTTTGGTTTACTCTTTTTATCTGATTAGCAAGCACATACTGTTTCCCTATAAGAAGTACTAAATAATCATCGCTTCCTCTGAAGTCTTACTTCGTATCAGTGTATATGAGTTCTGGTCACTTCTCAAGCAGTTTGTTTTGTTTGTTTCCAGTACTGGAGACAGACGTGGGGCTTCACACTGAGCTATCCCCAGCCCCTTCTTACTTTTTATTCTGAGTCCGGGTCTCACTAAGTTGCTTATATTGGGCTGGAACTTGCACTTCTCTTGCTGTGGCCCCCCAGAGTGTTGGGGTTTCAGGCATGTGTTGCCACATCCAGCGTCATACAGTTGTTTTCTGTTTTGTAGCACTGAGGCTTAAAACCAGGCCTTCATGCATGGCCACTGAGCAGGTGCTCCGGCACTCCCAGCCCATGATATGGTTTATGGTAATGCATTTCATACAGCTTTCCTAATGCACAATAGACAGAATTTCAAAATAGTTTTTTAGTTGCTTTTTAATCTATATCAGCATTCCTCTCACTTCGTAGTAGTTCATACTTGGATTCCACAATAATTATCGAGATCTTAAAGAGCCATGAAGTCTTATAGGAACTTAACGCAGTCACTTCTTTTTTCCCTCTTGACTTCGTACATTGCAGCCAAGCTACTCCTTACACATAATCTTCCCTAACCCATTCTTTACCAGGCTGGGCCAGTCATCTTGGCTAGGATGACTTTCCTAAACTATTACTATCATTTGTTCAAGCCTAACTTAGAAAATTTACCAGCCAGGGAGAACAACGCCGTGTTCCCCAGCGTGTCCTCAATCTGATCACTTCACAGCTCTTCATTTGCTGAGTGTAGGGCTGGCACAGTCTCTTGCTTGTGAGTGCAACCCTCACTTTAAAACTGTTTATTCACTCTGTTACCCCCTCAATGTAATATCTGAACTTCTGCATGCTCAGTTGAAATATTTTTAAATTGTATCTATTGTAGGTTTCTGTGGCACTGAAACAAGGCCAAATAACACCAACAGAGCTCTGTCGGAAATGTCTCTCCCTTATCCAAAAGACTAAATTTCTGAATGCTTACATTACTGTGTCAGAAGAGGTGGCCTTAAAACAAGCTGAAGAATCAGAAAAGAGATACAAGCAAGGTAAGTTACTTTCAATTATATTTATTTTTTTCTATCTCCAGAGAAGGAGTTTAATTGGGATATAGCTGTCTCCATTTAGCAAGTGAATGTTTAAACATAAAACACCCTATTGAAAGAACTTGGCATGAGGTATAAAATTGAAGCTAATGGATATGTGATGTTTTATAATATCCAAATAGAAGTTTCCAACATAAATTTGATTTCCAGAAAGGTGCCAAAAATTAGTTATTATAAAATCTAGTACCATATTAATATCTCGTTATATTTTGAACCATTGTCTCCTAATGCAGGTCAGTCACTTGGGATTTTAGATGGAATTCCTGTTGCAGTAAAAGACAACTTCAGCACATCTGGCATTCAGACAACATGTGCATCAAATATGCTAAAAGGTAAAATGTAACTGACCAGAGCATTAATAACTGTATAAAAACAGGTACTTTTCAGTTTAAAGATACTGAAGAACCAAGATAATTTTAATTAGATTACATCTTTAAAGAAAATAGGATAGGATCTTATATCTTTATTGTTTGCTCTTTCAGAATGCAGAGTTATTGTTTAGAGGTAGACCAGCTTAATGAATGGATGCTATTTCAGAAGTTTTAGAAATAGACCCAATAACTGATATCTATTACTATAGAAAGCCCTTCCTGGTCCTCGTCTCAGCCCAGAAGTTTATATTTGTAATCCCATGGATAAGTGATTAGATTCCCAAGTTAATTCCAATATACCAATTGCAGTGCAACCCATGGCAAGAATAAAGACACCAAGGCCTATTTATAGTTTTGAGGAGCCAAGGGGTCCTTAGTCCAGCCATGGTGGTGGCTATCTAGAACAAAGGCCTCGAGCAAGGGCTGAACCTGGGTTTTATTCATTCATGTAGGAGGAGTGGCTTGAGGAAGAGTGACTGTGAGAATAGCAGGAAGTAGGTGAATATTGTGAGATGAGTTTGGTAGGAGGCCTGCATTCACCTCTGCAGTGTGCAGAGAGGATATACAGAAAGAATAGTCTTCATTATACAATTGAGACAATATCTAATGTTTTGGGGTCAGTGCTTTAGCTGTGATGTGTAATCATTCATGCCCCAGGAAGCCATAGCCTCGTCTCGAGTCTCAGGTTCATCCCAGCTGACAGTTACAGTATAGGGCACTGGCTCGTCATCCCATCTCAACCTGGCTCACACTAGAGTGGATCAGGTGGGGATTTCCAGGGAAACACATCTGCTGTCTTCAAAGACTGCCACCAGCCCCTGGGCTAGACTGGTATGCATTCCTTAAAGCTGATTAAAGGAATTAGGAAAAGTCCTAACCAGCTCTGTACATAGCAGTACATGGAAATAGGGTCAGACACAGCCAAAATGGAGACAGTTGCTCTTCTTTCAAGAAGAGTTGCCCAGGTGGTCCTTCGTAAACCACACACTTAGGTCACCTCTATGTCCAGTGTGTTTAAGATATGAGAATAAGTATGAACTGGCTGTCAGCACCTTTCCCTTGTGGATGCAAGGATTCGGTAGCAATTCCTCACCAGTTGTTATTTCCTCAGCACTCCTCTCTTAAAAAACACAATAGTGATGCTTAATTTTATTCTCAGAGTCTTGTAAGTCAGCTGGCATATTTACCAAGATATTTGGAGGCCGGGGAGTTGGCTCAGTGGAATAAGCGCTTCCCTGGTAAGTGCAAGGGCCTGAGTTCAATCCCCAGTTCTGAAAAAAAAAAAAAAAAAAAAAAAAAAAAAAAAAAAGATATTTGGATCCCAGGAGAAAAAAGAAATGGGAAAAAAGGTTATTCAGAGTATTATACACTGAAAGTAATATTCTATGAGAAATGTGTCCCAGTTCCTCTAATAGGTGGACTATTGTTAACTGCTTTGGAATGTATACTAAGCTTTTTGGTGGACAGGAAATTTTAATTGAGAAAAAAGATCTAGTCTTTGACTTTCTCAAGTTTGATACTGATTTGCCACTGTGCCCTTAACACTCTCCATTCCCCTTCCCTTTCTAAGTCAATAGCTGGGGGAGTGGGGTGCATTGCTTCAAAAATTAAAATGAAAAACTTCACACCATGGATTTTTCTTTTACAAGACACCTATTTACCACTTTATTTAAATGTAAATGTTCCTTTATGCTTTTGAAATAAATTTCCTTTTGTAAAAAAAAAAAAAAAAATCTAGTCTAATGAGAAATACAAAAAAATTACCATTTAATGTCACCTAAGAAAAAAAGTCAAGTACAATAAGCAAAATAATGATTTGGAATTAGAAATTTCAAATGAATTTGGTTATATCGCTGACTATTTTATAGTGCTGTCGCAAATCAGTGAATATAGATTCTTTGGAAAAAGTACAGTTGGCTAGAGAAAAATTCAGGAAAAGTACAAAATACTGTTCAAATTAGGAATAGTTAACACGTCAGTTGTTTAATTGTAATTTAAAATATTATTTTCTATGTGTGATTTACATGTTTTTTCTTTTAGTCCTATCATAAAAATATTTTTTTTCAGGTTATATACCGCCTTTTAATGCTACAGTAGTTCAGAAGTTATTGGATCAGGGAGCTCTACTAATGGGAAAAACAAATTTGGATGAGTTTGCTATGGGGTAAGTAAAATTGAAATCTTGTATTTCTCGCATCTGTGCCTTTAATTTCATTAAATGGAAGTGTCTGAAAGCATCAAGGAGCCAGTGAGATAGCTCAGCAGACTAAAGCACCTGCTTAGGCAAGTGCAGGGACCGTGGTTTGATTCCTGGTACCACATGCTGTGCCAGCCCCGCCCCCAGAGCGCACTGAGCCGGCTACCGAGTCCTGGTGTGGTGGCACACCCTGTAACAACCAAATATATATATATATATATTTTTTTTTTTTCCAGTCCATCTTTTAATTTTTTTGAAAAATTTCTGACATTACAGAACTAAGCTGAAATGTATTAATATTCCACTCTTACATTTTCATGACAAACAAAAATTCATGAGCCAAAAAAACAAACAAAACAAAAAAAACAAGAAGCTTATAAAACTAAATATGGATCTTAGCATAAACAGTTGAACAGAGAAAGGAATTAAAACGCTTTAATTAAAAAATCACGAGTGGATGATAAAGTGTGTAGAAACTGAAAATTTACAAACTATTTAAAACCTGGAATCGCTGACTGTTCAGAAGCTACACATGTGGATCATGGGTGGTGGTGAACAGCAGAAAGGGTTATGGATGAATCTGCATTGTTCTAGCTGCTCCCCATGCCACCCATCTCCAAGGAAAGCCTGACATTGATTAGATATTGAGCCAGGCTAATGCTGGCAGCAGATCCAGTGATGGTAACCTGCCTATCAGTAGATCCTTCCACTGGGTTCGCAATTTTGATCTGCGCCCCAGACATCTGATGGATCTCACTGAGATTATGCAGCCAATCAAATCGTTTGGAATGGCGAGTTCATGAGAAGTAGTCTGAGTAGATGCATCCAAACCTGCACTCAATCTGGTGTTGCCATGCGTCATGGGAAAATGAGACTGTTGCATTGCCAACTGGTACAGCTTGGTCAAATCTGGCTGTGGAATGGCATACTGTCCTTGAATGGTATAGGCCTCTAGAGGTGGTCCCTCCAGGTCAGGGTTGAGGCACATGGACGGGGTGGTGTGGGGAAAGCTCACACTGTCGCTGCCTGTGCTATACCTGTCCTGACCACCTACAAAGATGACTAGAGAACTTGATGGCTTGGGCCGGTACGGGATGGTCACGCCCTTTGGGGGGGGACTCCAACATGACCACACAGATCTGTTTGACACACTCAATGATGGATTGCAGGATGCCAGCAATAGTGATGGCCCGCCCAGTTGAATTGGGGAGCATATCTCCTGCCACTTGGACCTGCGCCCCTGTACTCTCGTATTTCCTTGATCTTGCAACCACCTTTCCCAATGAGAGAGCCACACTGACTAGCAGGGACCACCAGCCTCAGAGTGACCGGGGGTCTACTGGCAGCTGTGCTATTGGTCATAGAGCTGCTGATGTCCTCTTCCAGTTTGTCAATGATCATAGCAAAGGCTTTGAAGATGGCATTAATGTGTCCAGCCAAAGTGATAATTCGCTCAGGACAATTCCCTTCTGAGATGTTGATCCGTGCACCACTTCTCACGCATCTTCTTCTTTCCAATGATATTGTTAACTTCCTTCCCATGCATAAGTAGCCGCATGGTGAGAGTGACATTTAATCCACCTTCAGTCACACCGGTGTCCATGTCGAATACTATGGGGAGCTGGACTTTTTGAGTGCTCAAGTCTTTGGTCAAGGGGGTGGGGGTCAAAGCCGAAAACTGCAGGCGTGAGGTGACTGAGGGGAAAAGGGGAGCGGGCGGGAGGCTGGGGGCGGAACAATAGGGGTGGGCAGGAAGGCAAGCCCCCCCCCTCCGCGAGCTGGCAGAAGAGGAAGGGGGGTGGAGCAGGAAAAAGAGGAAGGGGGAAAGAGACCCTGGGCAGCGGAGGGCGGGCGGGAGAGGGCGCAGGCTGCGGCTGCTCCAGCTGCTGCCTCTGCTGGTCTGGGCAACTAGCAAATATATTAAAAAATAAAAATTAAAAAGTATTGAGGTGATTTCTTGAGGATTCTAATGGCAGTTTTTTAGTTTTGCAGTGAGATTATGTTCAGTTCTCTAATAGATACATAGCCTTATCTTTTTTTTTTTTTTTTTTTTTGCAGAATCGGGGATTGAACTTAGGCCCTTGCGCTTGCCAGGGAAGCATTTATTCCACTGAGCCATCTCCCAATCATAGCCTTATCTAATTAATTGTGATTTTAGTTTACATTATTTTCTTTTTCTTTTTCCTTTTTTTTTCGTACTGGGGATTAAACTCGGGACCTTGTGCTTGCCAGGCAGGCACTTACGCCACTGAGCTATCTCCCAGCTACATTACTTTCATGAACAATGATGCTAAACATCTTTTCATATTTATTTTGCTATTCATATCTATTCAAATCTTTTGCCAATTTTTTTTAACATTTATTTATTGTGTGTGTGTGTGTGTGTGTGTGTGTGTGTGGCCAGCTCAGCCCACCAGGGGGCGCAGCTGGCTGGCATGTGGTGCTGGGGGATCGAACCGTGGTCCCTGTACTTTGCCAAGCTTGTTCCAAGTAGGTGCTTTAGACCACTGAGCCATCTCTCCAGCCCTTTTTGCCAATTTTTAAAATCATGTTGTTTATCTTATTAATGAGTTCTGAGAGTTCTTCCATATATACTGGAATTGGATCTATTATCAGATGATTTGCAAATATATTCTCTAACCTTTGCCTTTTCATTCTCTGAAAATGCCTTTTTTTAAATGTATTTGGTGGGGCTGGGTAGATGGCTCATTAGAATAAGGGCCCACGTTCAATCTCTGGTTCTGCAATAAATAAATAAATGTATTTGGTACAGGGTCTCACTATGCAGCTCGAACTCAGTGATCCTTGTGTTTTTTAAGCCTCCTCAGTGCTGGGATTACAGGCTTGCACCACCATGCCCAGTCTCAGTGGCCAGCTCTGTGCATCCCAGGGTGGGGCCAGTGCAGCACCGAAGGGGATCAAACCCCAGTCCCTGTGCCTATCTAAGCAGATGCTTAGTCTGCTAGAAAATGCCTTTTAAAGACTAAAAATTGTTATTTTATGAAGTTCAGTTCATTTATTCTTTCTACTTAGGATTCATGTTTTATATGTTTTAAGAAATCTTTTCCAAACTTAAGGTCACAGAAACTTTCTTGTAGAATTTTATAGTTTTAGCTCTTACATTTAAGCATGTAATCCATTTTGAATTAAGTTTTATATATGGCATAAATAAAAGTTTTTGTTTGGTTTGAGGGTTTAAGATAGCCAATCATTCTAGCATTCTTTACAACTAATAACCGCTAATCCTTTCCTCATTAAATTACTTTGGCTTCCTTTTTTCAAAATTCAAACGTGCTTGAAGGTCTATTTCTGGACTCTTTCCATCCTGTTTATTCCTCTCATTATGATTATTATAGCTTTATAATAAGCCTTGTAATTAGGTACTGAGAGTCCTCCAACTCTGTCCTTTTTCAAATGGTTGTATGTATAATCTGGTTCTTTATGTTTCTCTGTGAGTTTGAGGACCAGCTTCTTCTATCAAGAAGTTTGTGGGGGGTTTTGTTTGGTTTTTGGTAGATCAACTTGGGAAGAATTAGTGTCTTTGTAATTAGCTTCTTCATGCATAGCTTCTTATCCAAATATCTTATATCTCTGCATTAATCTGTAATTTTTTTTATTTTCTGTATATAAATCATATAATATGGTTAAGGTATTCCCAAATGTTTTGTTTTTAACACTGTAGAAAATGGTATAGCCAGACATGGTGGTACATGGCTATTACCCCAGCTTCTCAGGAGGCTGAGGAAGGAGGATCATAAACTTGAGGCCAACTGAGCAAGTTAGCAAGACTCTGTCTCAAAGTAAAATTTAAAAGGCTGGGTGCCAAGCATGGTGGCACTCGCCTGTAATTCCAGCACTCAGAAGGCTGAGGAAGGAGGACTTCCGTAAGTTCAAGTTCAAGTCAGGCCTATGCTACATAGTAAGTCCTAGGCCAGCCTGGACTACAGAACAAGACCCTGCCTCAAAATGACAACAAAACAGGGCTGGGGATATAGTTCAGAGACAGTACTTGGCCTCGTATGTTTGAGCCCTGAGTTCAATCCTTAGTACCACTAAAGGAAAAAAATGGTTTATTTTTCAATTTTTGAATGTTTATTGCTGATACATGGGAATGTAATTCACTTTTCTTTATTGACCTCATATGCTATGACCTTGTAAAGGCTCACTTACTAGTTTTAGTTGATCTTTGTAGATGCCTTAAACTGTTTCATGTAGGTTAACTTGTAGATTTAACTTGTTTCTAGTCTGTAAATAGAAACAATTATACCTCATTTCTTTGTCTTGCCTTACTGCACCAGTTAACAGCTTCAGTGCCCTGTTGAATAGAAGTGGTAGGAACCAAATATCTTTGCCTTATTCTTGGTCTTGAGGAAAGACCAAGAATTTGTTTAGCTTTTCACCAAAAGCACTCTTTTTTTTTTTTAACATTTATTTATTTATTTGTGTGTGTGTGTGTGTGTGTGTGTGTGTGTCCAGCTCAGCCCACCAGGGGGCGGGGCTGGCTGGCATGTGGTGCTGGGGGATCGAACCACGGTCCCTGTGCTTTGCCAAGCTTGTTCCAAGTAGGTGCTTTAGACCACTGAGCCATCTCGCCAGCCCACCAAAAGCACTCTTGATTTCCCCTTTTTTAATACTTGTGATATTTGCTTGGCTCTGTTCATAAAAAGAGAACACTCGAGTCATATTCTCAGTGGTATTTCTTGGTACTCAGCGGTGTGTGTTTAATGAACTCATCTCTTGGAGTAAACTGAAACATACTTTCCTTTTTTAAGTCATTATCTTCATATGCCAATGAAAGTGAGTATCACCAGTGAAAGCGATGTGGCCTTCATGTGATTCTCTGGGGACCCCCCTCACCAGTGATAGTCCAGCTGAGAATGTATAACCTGAGCCTGATAGGAAGAAAACATACAAACCCAAAATGAGAAACATCCTATTAAAATGACATGTAAAAACAAAGGCTGTGAAGGTGTGCCAAGTTAAAAGAGGCTAAAGAAAGTAAAACCTAAAATTATTAAGTTAGAGGGAAAATTTAGCAGAAAATTGTTGTGACTAAGTTAGGTAAAGATTCTTAGGACACAGAAAGGATAAATCCATTTGAAAACTTGATAGATTAGATTTTGTTAAAAAAAGAACTTCTGCTCTGCAGCTATATTTCAGTGCCCAGGTGCATGCCTTCCCAGCACCTGAACAAAAAGAAAATTTCAGAACTTCTGTTCTTTGAAATAGACTGCTAAAAATGAAAAGGTAGCAATAGACTGAGAGAAAATATTTACAAAACATTTGCAAGAACTGGTATCCAAGCTGGGTGTGGTGGCAGATGCCTGTAATGCCAGCACTATGAATTTGAGGCCAGCCTGGGTTACACAGTAAATTCAAGGCTAGCCTGAACTACACGGCAACACCTTGTCTCAAAACAAACAAAAAACCTAGTATTGAAAATGTATAAAAATCTTTTTCCAACTGAATAAATCAGCTCTGTGTTTTACAAAAATACAGATTTAAGCAATTATTTTATTAAAATGATAAACACATGAAAAAATGCTCAGTGACATTAGTCAGTAAAATGCTAAATTTACACGACATTGAGACAAGTAACACTTATTAAAGTGACAGAATCAGTGAGGTGTGGTGGATTATGCCTGTAACCTCAGCACTCTAGGCTGCAGCAGGAGGGTAAATATGAGGCCAGTGTGGAGAATTTTAGGATTTAAGAAGACCCTGACTCAAAATAAAAATAATAAAGTGGACTGGGGACATATCTAAGTGCAAAAGCCATGGGCTCAATCTCCACTACTACCTAAAAACAAAAGAAAAGAAGAAAAATAGGTGATACCAGATCCTGACAAGGATACAGAGAAAGTTGTATTTCTAATGCATTGCTGGCTGGGAATGCAAAATGTGTAGCCATTTTTGAAAATAATTTGGTAGTTAATTATGAAGCTAAACACATATGTACCTTATAACCTCACAGTCCCAGTCCTAGGTATTTACCCAAGTGATTAAGATTTACATTAACACAAAAGCTCTGGTTTGCAGTATAAAATCTATAGTAGCTTTATTCATAATTACCCCAAACTGGAAATAGCCCAGTGTCCATTAACTGATAAAGATAAAATAATGAAAAAGAGAAAAGAAGCAAAAGTGACAATAACTAAATGTAATGCCTGACTCTAAACTTGTTTTTAGATAAAATGCTATAAAATACATCATTAAACCAGCTGACAAAATCAGAACATAGTTCGCATGATGGTGTGCACCTGTAACCTGTAATCCCAGCACTCAGGAGACTGAGGCAAAGGGATCACTGGGAGTTTGACCACAGCTTAGCCTACATAGCAAGTTCAAGGCCAGATTAAACTACATAGTGAGACCCTGTCTTAAAAAAAATTATAAAAAACATCATTCTATCAGTATTGCATGATGTGAATTTATTCAGGAAAAAATACAAATACAGACACATAGCATGCAAGTGATAAAGCAAATGGAATAAAATGTTAATAATAGGTACATCTGGGTAAAAGATAGCATTTCGCTTACTTTAATTTTTGCAGTTTATCTGAGAATGTTTTAAAAATTTAAAAACAAGTTATTAGCATCTCACTTATAATGCTTTTCTTAAAACTTATGATCAAGGGAAGAATTCCTTCAAAATGCTCTTAAAATTATTTCAGTGTTTGTGCCTCTTTCCCGCTGGAAGACAGTAACTTACCAGGGAAGTCATTTTTAGTTCTGGATGATTGCCTGGAGTGAATTCTTTGCTTGAGGACACCGGTTTTCTACCTCAGTTGCTTTCCCCTCCATCGTCCCCTGCCTCCCCTGTCTCAGTGAAAGCGACAGTGGGCAGGCTTCTGAGCTTTCCCAGTTCCAGGTATGGTGGACTATTAAAACTCCAGGTGTCAGAAGCAAATAAAATTACCAGGGCCTCTCACTTTACCCTTTCATCTCAGATCTGGAAGCACAGATGGTGCCTTTGGTCCAGTGAAGAACCCCTGGAGTTACTCGAAACAATACCAAGAACAGCGGCGGCCTCAGTCCAACCGAAAGCGCGAAGGCACTGACTGGCTGATCGCAGGAGGAAGCTCCGGCGGGAGCGCAGCGGCCGTCTCAGCGTTCACGTGCTTTGCGTAAGTCGCCTCCTTCACTCTGTGTGTAAAGCCCACCTACTGCACGTGGTCATGCCGTACAGCAAAATCCAGCAGTAGAGTAATTCATATATGCCGGGATTTCTATTTCTTTTTAGCAAGCTGTTTGTCCTCAAAGATATATAAAAATTACATCTGCTGAACCCTCTCCAGTACTGCATATGATGAATATGCTTTATAGAGCAGACTTTATTTTGAAATAACATGTAAACTTTATAGTACCTAGGTATTTTCAAAACATGATTTCATAGTTCTTACAGAAAAAAACATTATGCATAGATGGACCATTCAATTTCATTTTTAAGATGAATTATTCAGGCTGGGGAGATACCTCAGTGGTCTAAGCGCCTGTCTAGGAAGCTCACGGACCAAAGTTCGTTCCTCTGTGCTGCTGGGTATTGCTGCCGTGCCAGTCCTGGAATGGTGGCCCACGCCTATAATTCCAGTGCTGCGGAGGCTGAGACAAGAGGATCACTACGAGTCCAAGCTGCATAGTGAGACCCTGTATCAATAAATAAGAAATAATAATTTACTCAAATGTCTGCTTTTTGATTGTACAAATATTTATAGACTATAATACTGTAACTTTAGTTCAGTGCTGCTGAGCTGTTCTCTTTCAGCAAACTCTGTTTTAAAAAATAAAAATGGGGCTGGGGAGATGGCTCAGTGGAATAAGCACTTCCTTGGCAAGCGCAAGGATCTGAGTTCAATCCCCGGTTCCAGAAAAAAAAAAAAACTTTCAATTTATTTGGGGCCAGGGAGATGGCTCAGTGGAATAAGTGCTTCCCTGGCAAGCAGAAGGGCCTGAGTTCAATCCCCGGTTCTGCAAAAAACAAAAAAAAAACCTAGTCAAAGAAAAAAAAAAGTCTCTAATAGATGACAGACTAACATAGTTTAAATGGGGCTGGTGAGATGTCTCAGTGGTCTAAAGCCCCTACTTAGAACAAGCTTAGCAAAGCACAGGGACCCCAGTTCAATCCCCCAGCACCACATGCCAGCCAGCCCCTCCCCCAGGTGGGCTGAGCTGGCCACACACACACAAATAAATAAATAAAATTTTTTTAAAAAAGATAAAAATGTTCCTAATGTTTATCAGTTGGGTATTTAAAATAGTGTTTTGGGGGCTGGAGAGATAGCTCAGTAGAATAAGCGCTTGCCTGGAGAGCACAAGGGCCTGAGTTCAATCCCCAGTTCCGTAAAAAACTAAAAATAAAATAGTGTTTTCAACAAATATGCACTACGTATCTGTTCATTAAGTAAAATTTTTTCCGCCTCCTCAGGAGCTGATGATTCTGTTTATCTGTCATGCTTAGTATTTGGTAAGAATTCATTGATTAATATTTCAAGTCCCATTTTTAAGGCATTTCTTAGCCACCTAAAGAAGAGTAGTCTGTTTTAGGTATTTTATCAATCTCAAATTGAAAATATTTCTTCAATAATTTTCTCTCTCCATAGTCATCCTAAAAAAAACTAAGCTTTTTCACAAGCATTGCAACCAATAAATTATTTATGTTTTTTAGAGTTATGGCACTTTAGTTTCTTTCATTTTTTTAGTTTTCCTGAAATCTTGTTAACCAGTAAAACCATTTCACTTTCTCTCTGTGGAACTTGATAGCGTGGCATTCATATTCATGAGCGTCCTGACAAGTTAGAACTGCGGGATTAGATGCTTTTTTCCCTCATCATCCCACTTGGCGTTCATCTTTCGGAATGCGCTTTGAGAAGATGGCATTTTGACACATCATTCCTATGGAAATGTAGGTTTTACTTTTACACAGCCATCAGTGCATGCTAATGAGAGAATGTATCTTTTAAAATTGTGAAAGCAACAGTCTGATTTTGTAGCTTAAATGAACTTGGTGAGAAAGGAAACATAATTTGCATTTTCTGTAGCGCACAAATGCCATGTTATTGTTAGGAGCGTTGCTCAATCCAAAGCTGCACTTTAAATATACTCAAGAGAAGCACAAGCCAAAAGTAGCTTCAAATTGAATGTATCCCAGACTGTAAGATATTCTGTCCCCCCCCCCCTTTGATTTGTTTCTTTTATAATAGTTTTGAAAACAGGAAGGTTTTTGGGGGTGTTATGTGACCACTAAAATGACTGAGCTAGAACAATATGTAGTGACATGGAAAGTTATCCAAGATAAGTCATTAGGTGAAAAACAAGTTGCAGAACAGCACGCAAGGACCTGTTTGTATTAAAAGAAATAATTAAAGAGGAGAGAGTATCAGTCATTACATGTAGTGTCTGGCTGTCCAGATGAAAGTATGTCAAAATATGGGACAGGCTGTTACAGGAGCTGGGATAAGAGAAATTTTACTTTATCATATACTGATAAAGATGTTTTAATTTTAAAGTAATAGGCTACTTTTCTACCAGAGTATTTTTTTTTTCTGAGTTGTTTAAAATTTCATTGGGGCAAAATAAAGATAAAATTTACCATCTTAACTATTTTTAGGTCTATAGTTCAGTAATGTTAATGACATTATGGTGTAACTAATCCACAACTCTTTTTCATCTTGCAACGCTGAAACCCATTAACCCTCCACCCAGTCCTTGGTAACAGCCTCTACTTGCTGTCCCTATGAATTTGAATACTCTAGGTACCTCACATAAGAGTGATATCATACAGTTTTTTTGTCATTGTCTCATTTTTTTTTTTCTGACATCAGTTATTTTTATTTTAAAGAAAAAAACAATGGTACAAAATCTCAAAACAAGATTTTAGGAAAGTTACAATGGTTAGTACATTGTATGGCTCATTTCAAAGTTAGTTTGCTTTTGTTTTTAAATAACAATAGCACATACTCTGAGTGGATGAAGAAATGCATAGCCATTTTGTAGTTGGGTAATGTAAATAGAAAGTATGAAAAAGTATTCAAAAATGAACCTTACCAAAACTTTTTTGGTTCACAAAAATTTTTTAAACTACCAATACTCACTAATGGTACTGAAATATTAAAGTACAATTGGATTCACTGCAATTGGGGATACAAATAGGGTAATTTTCTTAACAAGTAATTTGATAATATGTATCAAGAACTCATAATAATAAGCAGACCTTTTCATCCATTCACTCTGCTTCTTAGAAGTCAGCCTCAGCAACTATATGGGCACAGACTTATGTTTAATAAAAGTGTTCATTAAAAGTTATACTCATATCAGCTAGGGACACCATAAATGTTTATATAAGTTAGAGCATATCTTTATCCATGATATCTAAGTAAGATAGCAAAAGGGTTGTATCTGAATTCTGGAAGGAGTGTGTTTTATTTGTGAGATTATCTTTGATTTATTTTAAATGTCAACATCAAAGAAAGGCATGCAATTTGTATGTATGTCAGTAGAAGGTTGTACTTTATAATACTGAGATGTATATTATGGCATACTATATATAATTTAAATTTGCAGTAATTTTAATGGCATAAGGCTCAAGACAAGCCAAAAAGGGATTGAAACTTGTGATTTTGGGTGATCTCAACTCCATTATGGAAAAGTACATTTAAAAAAAGAGTTGAAAATGCCAGAATGTTTAGTTGTGTTTTCCTTTGGGAAGTAGAATTTTTTTTAAGGACAGGGTATACAGGGTTTCACTGCATAGATTGGACACATAGTTGTCCTCCTGTTTACAGCCTCCAAGTGCTGGGATTACAGGTGCGCTCTCAGTCGCTGCCTCAGTGAGCACCAGGAGCCAGGCCAGAACAGCAGGCTGGGGATCGAATTTCCGGCCCTGTGTCTGCCTAAGCAGGCACTTTAATCTGCTGAGCTATTTGGCCCACCCTAGAGTATTTAGTTAACCTCTTTCCACTATTCTATACTTTATGAATTCTCTGAGATAAGTATGTGCTACTTTTTATAATTGGGAAAATACACTTTAAAAAAATATACTTTTATATAAAATATATATATTTATATAAATATATATTATATAAAAATGTATATTTTTTTCCAAAGAGTGGAGTCCAGAAATAGATATGTCATTCTTCTAAGAAGAATTCCACTTAAATTCCAGGGCTTTAGGATCAGACACTGGAGGATCTACTCGAAATCCTGCTGCTCACTGTGGGCTTGTTGGGTTTAAACCCAGCTATGGCTTAGTTTCTCGTCATGGTCTCATTCCCCTGGTGAACTCGATGGATGTACCAGGAATCTTAACCAGATGTGTGGATGACACAGCAATTGTATTGGGTATTTATGTGATTTTTCCATCATTCAAAATACTTTCACCATAAAACAGTAGGCGTGGTGCACAGGAATATTTCTTCTTACAGGTGTACTGGCTGGACATGACCCCAAAGATTCTACCACCGTGCAAGATCCTGTTAAACCATTCACGGTTCCTAGTTTGTCAGATGTAAGCAAGCTATGCATAGGAATCCCGAAGGTAACTTTTTTCTTAACTTTTTAGGAAAGTCAAATACAGAACCAGACTTGGAAGTCAGATTAGTTAGGCTTCAATCTCTATACTGCCACTTTTATTAGTAATGTGACGTAAGCACATGACTCAGTCGCTCTATACCATATTTCTGAAGTGGGAATAATAAAAGTATTGAGGCCATAGAACTATGAACATTAAGTTATGTAAAACAAGGATCTGTACATTTTATGTAGACAGCTAGATAATAAATATTTTAGACTTTGTGGATTAAAATATTAACTCAGCTACTATAGAGAAAAATGAGTGTAGACAGTATATAAACTAAGAAAGACAAGGTGTGATCAAAACATACAGTAAGTTTAATTTTTAAAACTTTATTACAAGGGCTGATAAGGTAGCTTAATGGACTAAGTACCTACTTAGGCAAGTGCAGGGACTGGGGTTCGATCACCAGCACCATGTGCCATGGCAGCCCCACCCCCGGGCATGCTGAGCCACAGAGGCCAGGCTTGGTGGCACATGCCTGTAATCCCAGCACTGGTGAGGCTGAAAACAGGAGGATCACTATGAGTCCTAGCTGCACAGTGATACCCTGTACCAAAAACATTTTCCTTATTTTTTATTTTATTTTTATTTTTTTTGGCAGAACCAGGGATTGAACTCAGGCCCTTGCACTTGCCAGGGAGGCACTTATTCCACTGAGCCATCGCCCCAGCCCCACCAAAAACGTTTTTAAAATAAATAAAATGTTTATTACAGTAAAAGACACATTGCCATTAATTCCCCTCAATGTAATCCTTCTCCCTTCAGGCTTAAAAATCCCATCACACTGCCACTTTCTCAAGCAGTTCTAGAAATTCTCTTTCATGAGTGTCTTTTTCAGATAGATAAAAAATATAGTGAGTGTTGCTGAGTATGCCCCCCAGTAGAAGGACAGGCTTATAAAATGTTATGGTGTGCCCTCACCCACCTTACTAACTAAACATGGCACCCCAGCAACTTCTGGCTCTTCCCCCAAGCCCAGATGGCCATGAAAGGTAAATGTCTGTGGTCAGGACAGTGCGACTAGAGATACTCAAAAAAGGACTTCCAGAATTGTGGCCAGTATATGGTGGGAGAAGTGTTTGAGGCAAGGGGGAATATTTTCAAGGGGATTTTTGGCTGTGTGTCTTTAACTGTAATAAGTTTTAAAAATAGAAACATTCACCATATCTTCCAGTCATACTTTGTATGATGGACTTAATTTTTTAAAATATATGACCAGCCACCTCTTGTGCATAGGGTACAGTTTGCCAATCCTTGATGTAAATGACTTAGTCCAAAAGCATACCACACATCTGGGGCATGTCCTCACTAAATGTTATCTTTACTATTACTACAAATACTGCTGCTGCTACTACTGCTTCTGCTACTGCTACGACGTTTATTATAGTAACAGTCCATACATTGACATAATAATGTTAAATTGTTGGCTTTTTAAACATTAAAAAATTTAAACCTAGAAATATTATTAACTTTTAAAACTTTCTGAAAATTTTTTTGAAAGATAAGTTACACTTCAGAGTAAAAAGTTTCTTAGCCTTAGCACAGCTGATGTTTGGGGCTGGGTCATTTTTTGTCTTGAGAGATAGTCCTATACATGCAAGATGTTTAACAACATGGTGGCCTCCACCTCTAGATGCCAGTAGCACTTCCTGCCACCAGCCACAGCCAAAAATTCTTTCAGACATTACCAGATGTAATTGGTCAAGAAATGTAAGACATTTGCATCCAGATGAGACCACTACTATAGAGAAATGCTACTTTCTTCAAAGTCTTTCAGTATGGTAATATGGCTTCTTTTAAAAACAGATCACAAACTTTAGAAACAGAACTAGTTCAGAATCCTCCTACATCCTCTGTTGACTTGCTCTATAATAGTAGAAAAGTGACTTATCTTCTCTAGTCTCAATAGATCTCACTCATAAGTAAGGGATGTTAATCCCTACCCCATAATGATGTTATCAAAGGGCATGAAGTGAGGGACCTTTGAAAAGCATCTAGCAGAATACCTAATACATAAGAAACATTTAAATGATACAGATTCTCCATCCAGATCTCCAATGATTAAATTCTTACATCCAACTAATGTAGTGTGTCTATCACTGTGCTTATTCATGCCATACATTCTTGGTTCACTCTTTCTAGCTACGTAGTCCAGCAGTAGTGTCCATTTTTCTAGTATAGTGCCAAAGTTATTGTATACAATTTGTGAAATATCTACTGTATAGATGTTCCATTGTCCTCATTACCTTGACTGCTGCCTATCAGGAATATCTTGTACCTGAATTATCCAGTGAAGTACGATCTCTGTGGTCCAAAGCTGCTGACCTCTTTGAGTCTGCAGGAGCCAAAGTGATTGAAGTGTCCCTACCTCACACCTCCTACTCAATTGTCTGCTACCATGTGTTGTGCACAGCAGAAGTGGCATCAAATATGGCAAGATTTGATGGCCTAGAATATGGTAAGATGGCATGGCTGGGTTTTGTTTGTCTTGTTTTCAACATAATTGTATGTTGAACATTTGAATGGGTCTTTCATTAATGATAAAATTTTTTTGCCTGAAATAATGTTCATGATTGAGAAAAGTCAATAAATATATCCTTTTACCTTTGTCATGTTAGTTTTGTATTATGCTGTTCACCCTAAATCTCTCTATTCATTTCTCTGCACTATAAATACTTTACAGGGAAAATAGCTCATCTGTTTCATCAGCCCCTCCAGTGTGCCAGAGCTCAGTAAATGATAGGAGCTCAGTTAAATGTTTGGATGGTGGGAGAAATGGATGAGGGTGAATGAATGAAGGGCTTTTTTGGGGGCTGGGGAGATAGCTCGGTAAAATAAGTGTTTGCCTGGCAAGTGCAAGGGCCTGAATTCAATCCCCGGTTCTGCAAAAAAA